AAGAGGACAGACACTAGCACAGGACCCCAGCTCATTCTCAGCACAGTGGTAGCATAAACAAACCCTACTTCACACCCTCTGAGTGGGTGGGAAGGCTGCCCACTCTGAAATCTCACCGTGGGCTTTCAGTCCAAAACCAAAGGACATCAGTAAATCGACACAAAAGCATTACAGTCATATTCTTTAGACTTACACACCATGTGAAATAAAAGCTCTGTAGGTATGTATGTGTGCACCTATATTTAGCCATCTTGTAAGACTGAAGTAGGACACTACCAATTTAAACTCCACTAGAGTTTTTGGCCACACTCACTGTATCTGTTCTCATCTGCATAAGTGCAAAGCTTGGGTAATACCTGCCTGTCAGCAGGGTTTACTGTAGGTAATAGCACTACCACAATTTTGATAGCTAACCCAACACAGAATCATGATACTACCCAGCACCACGAAACCACTAAGTATATAGGACAAGGATCAATTATGATTTCAAGGAGCCTTGGGTCTAATCCAGGATCTCCCTCTCATTTCTAGCCCTCTTTCCAACTGCTCTGATTTTGCCAAGAGCCAGAACCATACTGCTCACATTCACAATACCTGCAATTCACATTGGTGGTACAGCTAAAAATTCTCCTTTTTCTCCCACTTCACTGGAAGTCAGGCTATCTAGCTCAACCCTCTCCCTCACCCATTCCCAGACTTCTCAAGCACAGGAGCTCAGCTCTGTTTTTCCTCTTTTACTGGGCATAACAGGCAGCTGAGTGAACGTGGAAGCATGAGCTAACTACAGCCCTCCCACTGCTCTGTGCTGAAGTGCTGTGAAAACACCACAGCTGATTCTGCAGAGAACCAGGCTTCCCATACTTGGTTGAACAGAAGCTTAGTTTCACAAATATTTTATGAGTATCAGCACCTAGTAAGCTTAAAACTCTGCACTTAGGAAATGCATCTGGGAAAATATAATTCAAGAGTGCAGGACAGGCTGTGATCTGCTTGGCTGGGGAGCAGCTCAGGGACCTTGGTGTCCCGGTGAACCATGAGCTGAACAGTGTGCTGCTGTAGCAATAAAAAAATAAAGCCAGCAGGATGCTGGGTTGCATCAGCAAGGACATCACTAGCAGAGATAAGTAATTATCATGTTCAGTGCTTGTCAGGCTACACCTGGAATACTGTGCTCAGTTTTGGTCCCTGCAATACAAAAGAGATGTGGACAATCTGGAGGGGGTGAAGGGAAGGGCTACAAAGATGATCCAAGGCCTGGTAAGCCTGCCATGTCTGAGAGAAGTGGGTTTGTTCAGACTTGAGAAGAGAAGGCTTAAAGGAGACTTTATCACTTTGTTCCAGTATTTAAAAAGTGGCTACAGAGATGGAGACACCCTTTTTACAGAGTCACATGAACCATATGAGGGCTACTGGGTACGGGTTACTCTTGGAGAAATTCCAGTTGGAGACAAGAGGAAAATTTTTCCCATTGAGAACAATCAGCCATTGGAATAATCTGCCCAGGGAAGTGGTAGATTCCCCACCACTGGACAGTTTTAAGATTTGGCCGTACAGGGTGCTGAGACATCTTGTCTAGACCATGCTCTTGCCAAGAAAGGTTTGACCAGATGATTCCAGAAATCCCTTTCCATCTGCTATTTTATGAACCTATGAAATCACAGTATTGGCAACATGACAATATATTGCCCATGGCCCAGGATTTGTTTCAAATCTGTACCAGTTTTCATTGGAGTCTTGACTGCTACATTATAATGACTCAAGTAATAGCTCATGCCCATTACAACAATGAACTCTAGGCTACACTTGAGCCATAATGCTTGCTTTTGATGGTAAGAATATGACTTACAGATGAAAGATGAAGATCAGGCCATATGAAAGTAAATGTCAGGAATACTTAGTAAAAATACTGAAGATCTGATCCGAATACTGACTGTATTGTCAGTAAAGGCACTATCATAACTAGGTGTTGGCAATACTTTATTTCTCCTGGATAGGCTACTGGATGGGACGGAGGATGCATAGAAATAGCACAAATATGAACATTGCTAGACCCTTGAACAAACCGCTTTAGTGGAGCAATGCGTCCATGTAAGTCTGAATACAGTGGCAGAGGAAAATAGACATCTAAAGGCTGCATCAGCAATTCCTATTCCAGTGTTCACACCTGCAAAACTTTGGCTGTAACTATTCTTAAAACCAAGCACTTATTTTAAACCAAATAAAATCAACATATCAGGACAAAAAAACTACCATCTTCTATTAAGAAGCTGACATCAACTCACCCCAGGAAAAACATTACAGTGCACCTTCCATTTTACAAAAAACAGCAGATCATTGGAGCATGATTATTTTCTTCATTAGATTTTGGTATTACCAAATGCGAAACTCTCACTCACTGAGTTGCGTCATGCACTACATAAACTGCAAAAGTAGGCTGTAGCTATAAACCTAAAACTATACTATACTATTACTAAATGATCCATTGTACCCTGGAACTGCTGGCAAGACAATAGTTTGATTCTACTTACTGACCAGCCCATGACTAGCTATGACTTACCAAAACAAAACCCCTAGGTCTTTGTCTCTCCTGAGTTACGTAGGTGTCTTCTGAATACAGGAACTTCTGAATACGACTTTTTGCTATAATAAGCCACTTTGAAAGCCCAGGTGCAGTCCAAGCAAGTATTCACACCCCTGGTGCCAATCCCATCGACTGCTGGACTGCAACTTTTGAAGAAAAGATCCTCTTCTGTGTTTGTTACCGTGGCTGTTTTACAAGAAGTACTTCTATGCAGTTAACATAATACAACTAAGGTTTAGCCCTAATTTGATGTTGTATAATTGTTACATGGCTTGCACATGCTATATAACAATTATAAAAATCTATCAAAATATATTAACAATTTCACAGCCTCCTCTATAAAAATCAATTATTTGCATATTAATTAAGCATAAGCACTTTCTAGCTGCTAAGAAGAGCTCTAAGGAATGAACATAATGCCCAAGCCCTAGGTGGAGGGAAACTATGAAACATATAGATTAGATTTCTTTCAAATTTATTTTGTATGTCCTACAGCTGTCATCTCTGTGCTTTTTAATAGATCTTAAATTTCCACATCTTTTCCCCACACAACCATCTGATGTTTAACTGAGGACAAAGAAGTCAGCATTAGGTAGCTTCCTAGGTTCAGCATTAAGTTTTACAACAGTCTTCTCCAAAACCTACAGTTTTTCTACTGTCCATGTTACAAATAAATTATACTCTCTTTCTCCCAAATTCTCAAAAGCTACCTTTAAATGGAGGTCCAAGGTGTTCCATAGATTTTACACTTTCAGATCAGAGAAGGGGAAAATCCCACTTTTGGCTACTGAGTCTATTCTGGATATGCACAGATGGAGTGAAACTGTGGTATAACTGATAAGAAAAGTTAATCACTAGATAGAAATTGGTTGGAAAATAGATTTAAATGGCAGAGCAATATAACTCGCCTTATTTGGTTGCCACTGGCAATGCAACAAAAGTAGCACTCCTGAGATGCAGAGGAGATGTTTATAGCAGGAAAACAACACAGAGACAGACATGCTGAGGTCTCTTTATCTGATAACTTTGTGGTAATTGCCTTTCATGCCCTGTGGCATGTGGAATGCGCTAATTTGGCATTCAGTGAGTATAGCAAAGAGTAATGCAAACAAAAAAGAGTCAAACTCTACCCTGCTTTACCTTACAAAATTACCAAGGCACAGCAGTACTGGCATCATCACAAAGTCTAAGGTAGGCACTTTTATGAGCCAACATCATCCTCTTCCTAGAGTCCAGTCTCATTTTCATCAATGTACGTGACTGATTTCATCAGCTCTTTCTAAGCAAGTCTGCTGTGAGGTCTAGTTCTATTTTCTGGCTGAGATTTTGCCCTTGGTTTGAACCCCAGCTGATTGGTTATAGGAATTTCTTCCTCTTTTCCAACTGTCCATTGATGTCTCCTATACTGAAGGTAGGGAATTTTGAAAAACCTTGATTCTGTTTCTACCAGAATCAACAGGAATTTTGCCTCTGATTTTAAAGGGTTTTGAACTTGCCTCTGTTGCTCTTTCCTCTCTCTCCACCAGCAACTGCATAGAAGCAAAGTCATCAGTATTGCTGAGCATAGCTCAGTTCCCAGGCACCTTCTTCTGTCAAACAGGTTTTTTAAATATTCTAATTTACATTTGGGGGTTTTCTCCTGTACTTTTTATACTGACAGTGTCTCACCTCTTAAAAACCACATACAGCTGTGAGTATATGTGTTCCCTCTTTCTCATAATAGCTGACCCCAGAGACAACAAGCCTTTATTACAAACTGCAAGGAAGAATGCACAACACTATGCTCTACCTGACACATCTGCAGCTCCTCCACATCTGCTTTACAGTCACTCATTCAGCATCCAGACTCATCACTTCACATAGTTTAATTGTGGAAGAGTAGCAAGGACAAGAAGAATGAAAGAATAATAGACAAAGGTACACATAAAGTCAGACAGAAATACACAAATGTGTATTTTTTATTATTTGTTGTTCATAATCTGGTCACAGCCCTCATCACCAGCCCCACCAAGAAAAATCTTATCTTATACTTACTGTTTCACACACACAGTGGTCTCTTTCACAAAGATTAGGCAGCAGATACCAGTGAGACTTTGCACTAGTAAGTCACTGAGGAAAAGTTAGTAATACATTGATTCTTTACATCCTTGTTAATTTTCTAATAGAAGCCAGGATTCAACCCTACAGAAGATAAATTCAGTTCCCCTAGCATTCAATACAACTTGTTCACATTTTTGTAGGGGATGAGTTGTATGCAGAGGGTTTGGTGGTTATGGTTACAGCAAATCAAGTAAGATGCAACAGATGCAATGAGAAATGGTTGGAAAGCAGCAAAGATAAAGTGCAAGGTCTAAATGCCAGGTTTGCATGTACGCCAGCTGCTCTGCAGCTCGGGAGAGGCAGGCAAACAAATACTTACCAGGTTTAATTTCCAGCAGCTTCAGCCTGGAATCCTCAGGGGGATGCAAACGCCTCTTTTTGCGCCAGCAACGTGCTGGGTATGTGTACAGCTGACCTGGGGCCAGGCCTGAAGATTAAAGGCAAAAAATTAATCACATTTCAGTTTGTAAACCACAAGCACCATCTCTAGCATCTTTGTTCTTGCCCTTCCAGCATCTCCTTGTTCGAGGGTTCAACCTGCAAATCATGAGGCAGAGCTACACACTCAAGGCATCCAGTGCTCCTGAGGCTCTTCAGCAGCTCTTGGGATCAGGCCTACAGAGAATCTAGGTCTCACTTAGACACTTCACTCAGCTCACTGAAACCAGAGCTGCACATAAATAATTTGTGATTTCTTCAGGGTAAATAGAATTTCAGACTCTCCTGGGTCACAAGGGCGATGCCTCCTCCACAGGCAGAGAAAGCCCCTGGAGAGAGAAGAGATGAAGTTCTGGCATGCAAATCTTGAGGCCCTGATGCACAGAGCAGGTCAGGAAATTTGTGTCTTCGAAACGGGAGCAAACTAAGACCCAAGAGGTCTGACTCTGTATTTTTGTTTACATTCTGGACTTCTGTTTGAATACTAATTCTTCATTTTGACTCTTACTTCCTCATGCAAATATTCTGAATGAGGGAGGACATACACCAATAATGCTTATATCACAGCATATTCCCTTAAATCACATTTGGCATCACTGGCTTTTGAGCTGCCCTGGCTCTCCTGACAGACACCCTTCAGCCAATATTCAAGCTGTACTTTTCTCGCCTGCATTCAGGACACAGCAGGGCTTTCTGAATACATCACTGCTAGGGGCACAGAAGCACACTGACAAGTGCTTCTAAGTATCCTCAACTGCCCCAGATAGTCATGACACACAGAAATACCCAGCAAGAAAAGTTGGAGGAATTTCATTCTCTCCTCTGCTTTTCCTGCCCTCTATGTCCACCAGTTCTGGTTTGGCTCCTCTGCCCTTCTGCTGTTCCTGTTGTCTTGAAGGGGCTACAAAGCATGACTTCAATTCCAGACTCATTGTCCTCAAAAATCAGGCAAGACCACATAAGAGAGAGAATAGGAGTGGTGTTGCTATATCTGAAATTGTACTGACAGTGAACAGCTGGACAGCATCAAGGGGGTGCCAGTAAAGCAGAACAGCTCAAGGACAGGAGGATGGCCCAAGAGTTCTCTCCTCTCTTCTGAAGCAGCCAGGAGAGAATACCAGCTTGGGAACAAAAGCAACTCACCAGACCAAATGAGGACAAAAAAAACCCCCAACTATCCTCTTACTTGGGGGTTGAGAGGAAAAGACAGTAATACAATTCACCTTGAAGGAATGTGCTCATCACATTCTGCAGGTGAGACCTTATTTCCTTAAATATTTCAGCTGTTGGGCATGTCAGTTCAGACCCCAGCACTTTCCACCAACTTCCAAGGCCTTGGAGCATCTACGGCATACTGCCTGAGTATGGCTAAATGATGAGTACCTGCAGAGATTCTGGCTGTTTCAGGGCACAGAATGCTATTTGACTTGGACTTTTCATGCCCTTCTTTCACTGATGCTCAGAAAGCCGGGCATTGTGCACAGCCCAAGAAGAACACATTTCAGAACAGGTTGCCCAGGACCAGTTTGGAAATAAAAAATGGGAATAACTAGCACTTATACAGTGTTTGGACACCCTTCTTCATGCCACTTTGCAAACATTAACCCCTGCAAACAATTGCTATAATGACAAGGTGGATTGTGCCTGGCTCCGATGTGAGTAATTAAAGAGGTGGAGGCAAGAAGCCCCACCCTTTCTCAGCAGGTTCTGTGCAAGGACTTGAAGACAACACTGAAATGGCAATTACCAGATCAAAGCAATAGGACAGAAAATCAGCCCTCCATTGCACTGGCCTCCACAGAGGAGCCATTTGAAGGAATAATTACCACAGCTTTTGTCCCAGACAGAGAGGAGCAAAGATCTACTAGTCTGGGGGGAATTTCTACTAGTTTAGGCACCCCTATAAAAAAGAGCCGTTCTGGATTCAGCCAGGACAGCAAAAGCCAACTACACATGCTGAAAGCCCAACTAGAAACTTGAAAGGAGAATTGAGAGAGCCTCTTCCTTAGAGGGGGGCAGGCAGATCAATTAGAAAGAGATGATCCAACATCCACCTCTGCAACCCTACAGGTAAGCCCTCTGTTGCTACTCGAAGCATGCCTGTTCATTAATATGCCATCCACTGAACTTAAAACACATACCAGACTTTCACTTCATTCAACCCACCAATGCTACCTTCATTTCTCTGCCCTGTTCCTCATCTGTCTCTGTGCTGGCTCACATGAATTGGAGATGGTACACAAAGGAGAGACAACAAGGAAAGGGTCTTTTCTGAATGCTCTGAATGTAGCTCCTTCACAGGCAACCCTGCAGTGAAGATAGAAATAATGCATATCACCATCTTCAGCCCTCTGTGGGTTGTCTCTCTCTCTGGTACCTTATAGGGCAACCAGAGAAGGTTCCAACCATTTGCTTACAGAGGAAATAGCAGAACCTGCAGTGAGTTATGTTGTTTATCTCATTAGTGTAGGAGAGTCATAACTCAAAGCTTGTGTGAAAGGCCAGTGGAGGAGGGGAAAAGGAGGGAGTTATGTGCAGTATTGTGTGAAATTAACCCTGAACTGTTTATCATGAGATGTAGATTTCTGAGTCCTTTAACAAAGAGAACAGCAAGAACTCAGGTTAATATGCTGAGTTCCTGAGTCTTCTCTGTTTTTCAAGTTTGTGTAAGTGAAAAGAGCTCCTGGAGCTTTGCCATTTGTCTTTATCTAGTTTTTCAGGTTAGGGATAGTAAATGGTAGTGAGCACAGCACATAAGACAGACACCGGGAGGGCTGGCAGAGAATTTTCAGAGTCCTTTAGTATGGGCACAAGCACATTGTGTACAGCCCAAAACCAGGCATGCTAAAACTGTAGAAGGCTCCCTTGACTCACCATAATACTACAAGAAATAGATTACAGAAAGACACTCAGGGGAGCACTAAATGGGCTAATAAAAATCAAGAACGAGAAAAGCAAATATGAGGGAGGAGGGTTGGTTCATTTCACACTGAATTATTCTAATTCAAAACAAAGTCATCAGATTTGGTGGCCCATGCAGATGCAGGAGGCTTCTTTCACTTGATACTCTCTGTGAAGAATGTTCCACCATTAGTCTCTGGTGCAGACCTGCAGGAGAAAGGTCACCTATCCCCTTCTGCAGGGGCAGCTGCCAAACAGTTCACTATCAGAAGTGAGGAAGGAAAGATTTTCAGAATGAATTTGCTCAAAGTAGTCCACAAAGCTTGTGGCTGAGAAAGGCAAAGAATTTAGACATCTTAGTTCCTGGTGTGATGCTGTAACACGGTTATGATGATTCCTTCTGCACGTGTACAAATGCCAATGAGACCCACACAGGATGTTCTGTGTCTGTCTTTGTGGAAGATGCTGTTGACAAGACATTACTCATGAACACAGTGGATGTATAGCTGTGTGTGTGTATATATATATATATATGTATCTTCTGACTGTGTTCAGAAGGGTGGGAAGGGGAAGGGGAAGGGAAGTTTATGCAAAGCATAATCAATTATGATTAGAGAATTTTCAGCTGAAACAAAACACTTGACTGTGGTTATGAAGCAATCTTACCAAAGAAGGGTCAGCCCAGAAGTTTAGAAAACTCCCATCTTGTGAACTACGTTCAGCCATCCTGAATTACCCCAGCAGTTTTTGTAGTTGAAATATTCTTTGGATATTTTTAACACTGTAAAAAGACCTCTTGTCTCCTGCACCAGAAGTGGCTGCATTTCATTATATAAACAGTTTTCTGGTAGTACCGCAAGACAACTGAAATCTACTTTTCATATTTTAGTAATAGGAGGAACACAAAGATCCTTCCTCTAGTGTGTCCTAGAAAGGGGAGAAGGAAAGTTTCAGCTAAGACTCAGCTAGGCACTTTTGAGAAGCATCAATTGTTTTCTTAGCCCCAGGAGCATAAAGGGATATCCTATATGTTCCTCTCACTTCATCTCCTGTAAACCAGACAGTGGAGGAGATTAGAGCAGGCTTCACCTTCACATAATTTCAGATCTAGAATTTGAGGGGGTGGAGGGTGAAGGTGGGAGGGTGTAAATATTGTTTAGAGAACTGGCACATATTTATGCACATGTGTGCTTGTTATACTTCCAGTGCCCATGTACTCCAGGTCTCTTCCTGCCTGGATTCTCTGGGCTGCACTAAAGAAGGGGGAAAAAAGAAGTTAGAAATACATTTTGGTGCTGTTAAAAATCCTTTCCCTGAGCTAATTATTGGTCAGATACTGAGCTACAACATAGCCAAATTCCCCTTGGGGCTCAGAAGGACTTCTGTCTGAGCGACATCTCAGTCTTTGGTGACTGGTGACTGTCCTTTGCCTTTCAAAAAGGGATTTCAGATGGATTTCGTCTAACAAAGGAACAACTGACCAAAGTCTACAAAAATAACAGTGCTCTTTTCCCTTGAGCTTCCCTGAGCTGTGGAGCAGGCATTAGCCAAAGCTCCTTAAGGAAATGTACCAACTTCTTTCTGTACCCAAGGGAACCACAGCTCCAGAACTGATATCCAAGTTAACCTATCCAAAGCAGAACCAGGATTTATAGGTATATTTCTAACCATTAGAACAACATTCATTCAATTAATGGACTCTCCTATATTTTACTTCAGTTTTATATCCTTCCTAATATAGTTCCTTATTTTCAGCATTCATCTGAAAAACTCCCACCTCCATCTTGGAGGTAATTCCAGTCCTTCTTAGAGCAGAGTATTGAGTCTTCTGCTACAGACTGGGATTGATAGCATGAAAAGAGCTACAATGATGCAGCCTTAGAAACTACCATGTCAGCCACCTCTTTGCATAGAGAGAGAGTAATTAGCATGAGCTCTCTGCAGTTACCAAAGGAAATCCCCTGCAGGCACAGAGGTTTAGGCAGTTTCTCTTCTGTGTGGCCTGTAGCAGGTTTGAGCTCCTATTAATTAAACCCCAAGAGGGCTCAGTGGCCAGCCCTCCGTACATGCATGTGCATACAGAGACACAGCACTACCAACCTGGTCCCCTGTGCCTCTTCTCCATCCAGATGTAGCAGTTGTTCTGAGCCACCCCAGTCTGCGAATCCAGGAAGGGCAGGCGGACGCTGCGCTCGGCACAGAGCCGAGAGTTGTAGCTGCGACAGTGCTCAATCGCCTCTTTGTAGAACTGGTCCCCGAGGCTGCCAAGAGAGACAAGGCACAGTGAGAACGATTGCGCTGCCCCCTCCAACAAGAGTAGGAAAAGGGGACGTGAGGTTGCTTTGAAAATGGACAAACAGAAGAACTTTGCCTGGACAGATGCAAATGTTGGTGACACGAGACACCGATGAAGCAGATCATGCAGAAAGTGATGTCAAATTCATCAAAAGATCAGGCTGTCAGGAACCAGACACAGATCTTTTCAGTAGCAGCGTGGCTACTGAATGAGCAAATGATGCAATCACACTGCCCCATGACCCGGGGTCAGGCCCATGTACACCACAGTGAAATCATTTGATTGTTTCTCTTTCCCTGTAGTTTGTCCAGCCAATTCAGCAAACCAGTCATTTCAAACCCATGTTACAGCAACTGCTGCAGTATGTTTTAGGCAACCAGAAAGCCAACCAAGTTTAGAAGAACTTTGCTCCAGCATTTCTGGTGCCAAAGAGCCCATAAGAGCAAAGAACATTGGTTCTCTTATTGTGTGCTTCTGAGGCATGAAAACACACCCCTGAATAACTAGAGCCATATCTGCAGACTAGATGTTTTGTCATAAGCCTTCCAGAGTTTTCCACAGTGAAGCCTGAGGTGCCAGGAGCAGCAGGCTACAGCAGCGACCAGTCAGATCCAGCATGGCAAATGCTGCTTTTCTCTGGAGCCCAGTGGGAATAACAGTTCTAAAGACAATGTCACTTACTTCATAAATAACTGTTTGTTCAAAAATTCTGTAGAATCTTCATCCTCCCTTGAGATAGGTTTAAAAACTCTGCCTGCTGGAGATTACCAAAATCCTCCCTCCAAATTTTTCTAAACAGGGAAAAGCATCAAAGTAAAGCTACCCTGAGGACACAAAGCAGCTGTCATGCTGGAGCATTGCAAAGTAGGTGGGCCACACTGCTGAACCTCATTCTTGATCTATTGTCAAGGTGAAATTCACTCGTGACACGAATAGCTAGGAAAGCTACCTGTTAGGGGTAAGTTCATTAGAAAACAGGAGCAGAGTGATAGATGGCATAACTTGCTCTGACTCTGATATTCATTAGTGTGCACAAAGAGTATAGCACATAGAGCAAGTGAGCCAAAGGGATGCATGCACAGAGATAAAAGGAGCTCCCTTTTCTGTTCTATTAGTTTTTTCTGTAGGCACAACTGGCATTTTAAAATTTTGCACACCTCTGAACGTCAAATCAGTGCAAATTGCTCTGTTTTGCCATCTGTATCTTTTTGTGACTCACATCTTTTAAGTGACTCCTCAGTTGTATCTTATGATTTACATGGAAGTCAGGCACTTCTGATCTTGGCCATACTGGACCAATATCCTGTCACTGACAGGGGCCATAAGCAGAGGCTTAGGGAAGAACAAAAATACAGCAAATACCAAGGGAGGCACCTCGAGTTCTCCCTTCTCAATTCTGATGAGCAGAACTCAATTTACCCAAGTCTCAGGTTATCAAATGATGGGGAGCTCAGAACATCCTTTTCCTACAGAGACTTCCTAAGGGGTTTTTAGAGGTTTTGTGCAGCAGTGAACATCTGTGTGAACATTGTGCCTCACGAACCTGTCCTCCCCCTGCTGACCACCAGCTCCTGGGCAGCTGCCAGCACAGGGATATGTGGAGGGCAGCTGAAGGAGAGAGCTCCCTGGGCTGTGCAAGCGAGTGGAGGGTACAGCATGGGCAGAGCTTGCACAGCAGGATCCCTCCGGACACTGAATCCCCTGCAATGACCTCAAACGCCCTTTTCCATAAAAAGGCAGGGGGGAAGGGAAGGGGAGCAGGGGAGAAAGAAAAGATAAGCTGCTCTACTATACAAAGAATGTGACTAGGAAGAAATGAAATCTTATTAAAAGCTGTAATTAAAGTTGTACACTTGTGTAATCAAAGTCAGTAACAAGGAGACCCCAGTTGATCAAAGATTAACAGCTCTTTCCACAAACACTTGAGCTTCCTCAGAGCTATGTCAGATTCCTTCTATATTAAACCAGAGATGCTCTCTAACTAAGGAGTTTACTGGAAATAAATAGGCATAGCTATGTGACAAAAAACTGCCACCACTGCATAAGTCTTCCTTATGCCAAAAATCACTTCAGTCATAAGCATATGTACACCACAAAGCATCCATATTGACAAAAACAATACATCTCAGCATTAGGGTATGGGATATATAGGATCTGACTGGAGATTGCTTCAGTTTCCATCTTGCTCTAAGACTGAAAATAACTATAAGTCTTCAAATGTAAAATATTTGGCTTTAAATCATCAAGTGAATTTCAGATTTTTCTAAGCAGGATAAAAGGCCATCTGAGATCCTAATGGCAGAGAAGCAACCAAGCTAACGGGTCAAATTCACTCATGACAAAATCTTGCAGCCTAGCTGTTTCATTACATTTTCTTTAAAGATTTTTAAATATGCGGTTTTTTGCCTTAAAGAAAAGTAACAATTTAGAAGTATTCAGTCATCTCCATATTTTAAGAAAGCTTGCCTTAGCTCCACTACTGCAAGCATGATCAAAAAGTGCAGTTCTCTAAGTATTCACTGGAAAGCTATTCAGATACTGAGACCTTGAGGAATTACCCTGACCTTAATTATAAATGGAATTATTTTTTTAAGTGACAAATAATCAAATATAGGAAAGTAAAGAAATGGTATTTCCTCATGACAGTCATATGTCAGTGGGAAACAGCTCCCCTGAAATTTTTTTTGGGTGCCTAGTTGTTTTGTTTTACCATTAGTTAGGGTTTTTTTAAAGAACTTCAAGCTTAGATATACTTTTTCCTTTTTTGTGTGCTACATATCTAAACACAGCATGTTTTATCTTATGCAGGAAAAAACAGAAAGTGTACTAAAATGAGGGCAAAAAAGGGGAAGAACAGTCCCATTGTGTTCCTCATTGCAGAGTCAGGGAGGTGGGACAAATCCCAGCCCCCTCCCAGGAGGTTTGCAATAGAACTGGAGAACAGACAAGGGTGGGAATAAGACTGGAAAGCACAAGAGCTCCAATGAAACTCAAACAGATCCGTTGAGTGTGAGCAAGTGAGATACAAGAAGAAGAAAAAAAAATTAATATTATAAAATGTATCATATGTCAGAAAAAAAGATTAATTATCTGTTACATGCTTCATAGTTTTCCCAAACTGTGTTGCTATGGAAGACTTCCACTTCAACTCCTGAAAAAGTATCTGTAAAAACTATGGGGAATTTCCTCATTATTTTTATGAAAAGTATGTATGAGTCAGTGCTGTGCAGTGACTGACTGCAAGGGTCAATTCTTCCCTTTGGACAGGGGAGTTAAAGGTCACACAGACTTGTCTAGATTGATATTAATGACACAAAATCATCAGCATATGTGCAGATTTTAAAGATGCTGGGAAAAAGCAAGGAGCAGACATGAACAACTGCTGGACAAGGAAGGCAAATCATACTGAAGGCAGCACAACTGGAAATACAGAATACAGTTGTCAGCATGCTGTGAAAAACACACAGCCCTTCAGTAGAGAGCCCCAGGTGAAACCCCAGATGTTTGGGACAGGCATGTCAGTGACACTGCTGGCACACACACAGGCTTTGCACTTACATACCATGAGCACTAAAATAACCCAGTTCTGGCTAACTGATAAAAGCTCCTGCACTTGGAAAAGAACAACCTATGCTATTGCATACTCCTGAAAAGCTGCATAGAAGGGGTGACTGTTTAGTGAGGTTAGGGCCTCTTTATTGGTGAAAAAAGTGGGACTGAAACTAAAGAGCAGGCTGGGAGCAGTGGAAGCTCAGTGTGAACGGGGAGGTGAGCACTCTGAAAGCATCAGCGGTCCTGTGGGTGCTGGGACTGCCATGAGGGCCTGGTGCAATTCTGTGCAGCCTTGCAGGTGGTCACTGCCATGACAGCAAGCACCAGCACAGAAGATCAGAGTTTGTGAAATCCTTGAGGTCACTTTTCTTTTAAGTGTTAAGAAACTGAGGTTTTCTATCATGGAATCAGGTCAGCTAATAACAAAGCCAGGGAAGAACAATTCTTCCCTTCCCTCAATCTTTGCCTGCTAGCTCTAACTAGACCATAAGGTTTCTGAGCAGACTCCAACTTACCACTTCTCTGTACAGTACCTAGTGCCATGACTCTGCCGTCTAGGCATGCCTTCAATAAGAGGGGAAAGAAAAAAAAGAAACCCAAGAACTTGCCTTTCTTATAAGCCCATAAATTTGCAACAAGGACCAGGAGCCTGACTTCACTCCAGATGTTCAAGATGTTTCTGTGCTGACAAGGAGTCCTGATGGGCCCTGAAAGCAGCAGAGCAGCTCCCCACCACTACTTTGCAGTCCATCCTGCAAAGTCACATATTTTTGAGTGTACTTACACCTTTTAAAACAGCTACAAAATAGGCCGAATCCAGAGCGCCCCTCCTGCAGTGCCTAACACAATTCAGGTTAGTACCCAGAGAAGGTGAGCACTTGCTGAACACCTATAACTAGCCATGCTCAACAATGATTACAGGTCCACATCACCCTGGGAAAACTTGTATAACAAAGAACCAGTCCTCCTCAAGTGCAGTTCCTAAATTTCTACCAGACACCTCTGAGTATGAATCCAGATTGTCTCCAGTTCTTGAAGCCAGGCCTCATTCTAGTCATTTCTCTCTCAAACCATGTTCACTACATGACTAGGCAAGTAAAAACCTGATAGCACAGGAAGAAATGACTAGTCATGCAACAGAAAGCAACAGACTTTTTCTTCTACAGTTTGCAGTGGTCCTCAGCCACAATCAAAAATGTGGGCCTTGCTTTCCTTAAGACCATGGACTTTTTGTTTACTATACATTTAGTCTCTAGTCTTACATTTTAGATCATTTGATACTGTGAGGTACAGCGAGGACAACCATAAAAGGCCTTTTAAATCAGAACTTGTTTTTCAGCAGCACTGCCTTCCAGTTTCAAACTGGGCGAGATCTGAGAAGTGGTATGAGACAAGTGGTGCAATGCAGCTTCA